GAGCAATAGTGTCGTCTAGCGCTGCTATATAAACCTAGACACTAAGTAATGGATTGTTTTTTACCCAAACATTTATGCTGTATACACTGAATATCTGCAAACTTATGGTAACAAAGTTGACGCGAATCAATAATCTAACCATAATTTATACCTAAATGAAATAACTCACAAGAAAATACACTTTGAATTTAGTGATATACGTCTACTACAAAAGCCACGAGATATTTTTACAGGTCCTTGCTTAATAAATACTAATACAACACTTTTTGTTCACTCAGTATTATAACGAACATTCCATAAGTTATTACCTTGTACAATAAAGACCATGTAAGTCAGTAACTGTGACGAACTCGTCCTAACTCTGCTTGATTCTAGCGTAAACCCTGTTTCTCTTGACAAATGTATGTCGTTTTCGTTTTAGGACACTTATTAAAACCTTTATGATGTATAGACACATGAAAACGTGAGAAAAACACGTTGATGCACAGGAGCCAGAAAACATTGTAGGTACCTCTCGAGTTTTTAGTATTCCGATGTTGTCATCACAAATTTTGCGAGCAAGTACGCAGGGAGTATTGTTTATTGGGAGCTTATAAACTCTCATGTATGCTTTATTTGTTTTTTATCTGTTTAAAGTATGTCAGAGGTTTACCGATTTGGCGTTTTAGATTAACATTATAATGGCAAGCATGAAGTAACCCGTATTTTTTACGAGGAACATGAACGAAATAATCAGCGTATATCTATAAGGTGTTCCTATCATTTCTACTTATAAGTTCATAATTATATATCACGTGATAAATCCGCATTATGACAGTTACCAGTTGCAAAATTTACTGCTGCAGGATGCGGCAACTCTGCAAGAGCCTCATTTAGTGTGCGTTTCTCTTCCTCGTTAATTGATTTAGTCCTCTGTTTTCCCAGTTGCATGTAATGGGATACTGAGTCTTCAGGATCCAATAGAAATTCGACATTAAGGTGCTTGTACATTTCCTAATCCAAAAAATTGTAAAATTAAGTGCTTGGTAATCAAAGTATGTCAACATTAATCAAAATCTTGACTTCACTGAGTCCAGAAAAGCAACAGAGTATAACAAACTACACATACGTTGCTGACAAAATTATTGGGCTTGGGCTTTAGAAAACATTGAAATGCATAATATAATTCGAATATAATTTGTTTTATTCAGTTCCCCACACACATTCGTTCTGCTCGACTTCAAGGTAATTGTCTTCGGACATTACATGAATCAAACTTGTGTCCAATTATAACCAATGGAATTTGTTGACCATAGGGTGCCCCCCACCATTTTTAGAGCGCAGTAATCAGAAAACTTTATTACAATAAAGATGCGAATAATCAGTTTCTTGATTTTAGTGGTATATAAGATGAACATCACTGATGATAAGATACTGGGACATATACACGATACTTTTCCATGATTCTGGACAACCATAGTTGCTAGAATAAAATTCGTATTTTTTGAGAAAAATTTTCTGACACCGATGTGTATGGTTATCGTTAAAGAAAACTTCGTACAGAAGAGAAAATTATGATGGACAACAATTTACCTGCATTAAAATATGCCATCGTATGTCTTTGGATTTACTGCAATTCTTTAACTTTGCTACCTAGATTTTGATGAGAGTTTTTAAGCGTTATGGTGCAGACCTATTATCTGAAAAGTCCGGAGATATTAATCATATCGTTCACCTTGCAATGGGAAATGTTATGGAATCGTACTTATTTAACTGCCCATCACTCGTATATGTGGTCTTAGTTGCACCACTCAAACTCAGAGTAGACCTAAAATCTGAATTTGACCTACTTTATAACAGCGAATATCTAAGGACTGTCAGTAAGTGAATCGTAACCCACATAAAAGTTAGCACAAATGTACATCATAAGCTGCGATATTTTGTGAGCAAAATTAGGAAATTAGAAAAATAGGAAAAAAATGAACTAGGGACACTAGGAATCTGAGTTTACAACAAAAAATAAAGTAATATGGAGGAAACATATGTCTGCGCTGATACAACTTGTTTTTAGCCCCGTCATTTGGGACCTTCAACCACACGTAACAAGTGTCTCTTGGGTGACAAGCAGGATAGCTTTACCTTCTGGCACCCATTTGTTTGGTGGCCAATGTACTCATGGACTATTATCAATTCATTACCTCACGGCAAAAACTAGCTAACCATACGCAACATGACCCAGTCATCTCATTTGATGACTTGTTGTTTTTTGATGGGCTTCCAATAGAAAAACGAAAATAATTATCTTTACATTGTCTATTAACTTAAAACATCAGTTTTTCTCTTACGAAACGTGAGACATGATACTCCATTTCTTCGAAAATACGGCAGGAAGCCTTGTGGAAAATTTCCACCATCTACTACCAAATAGTTTAAATGTGCGATAAACTTGACCTTAAGGGAGAGCTGTCCATAAATCTGCACTAAATTTCTACCTGCAAGCCATTCTTGCATTTCCCGTAGAAAACCAATTAGCCGATTAAACTTGGATTTACCACAGCACCGCACTCCCTAGGGATGGCTCCTCATATTTCACTAAACTGCTTGAAATACAAGGATAGCGTGGTCGTTGAACTAATTTCGTTAACTAGAACCATTCTCAAATACAGAATATATGGAGCTCAACGTAGTTTACAACGAGCATATACGCTAGACATTAATTACGCCTATTATTTGACAGTGGGAACTAATACATTGATGAATACGTTACAATCAAATTTAAGAAGCCACTTTATATATGACTACTCATTATTTACCATACGTCAAATACTCGTTAACGATGTGGACATACACAATTGTGCAGATCACGTCACTACCACTAAAATTTTTCAAGTTTTTAGAAAGAGTAGTGTAGGCATTCCAACTAACATAACTTTGAGACAAATTACCTTGCAGTTTTCGCATCGACAAAGGAAGCTTCTCCAATCAGAGATCCAAAACACTGATGGTACTAGATTGGGGTCGAGGTTGTCCAAGTTATCAAGAGACGAACAGCAGAACTCAGGCACGTGTTGTTTCATTTTACTAGCCCACATGGACAAACGACAATAAGAACTGTCTTCCGGATGAGTCGTACCTTCATTTACGGTTTTCCTCAACCTTTTAGAATCAGGTGTATAAATAAACTCAGTCAAGCTGTTACTCTTTATAAAAGATTGCCGAAACGTCTCCTCAGTGTTATATGCATACATAAATAGAAACGCGTACTTTTTAACGCACATAAAACAGGTCATCTCGTTATAATCTTCGGGTGGTTCGAATTCTTTATCCATGTTGAGATGCTAAGATAATTTAGGAAGTCATAATCAGGTTACCTCCAAGTGAAACCAGTTTTCGCATATGCCACACTGAATCATTTCTTCAACACCCTAGTAAAGAAAATAATAAGATACAAAAAACTACGTCATAATCCGGGTCTGGATACGGACGTTGACACGTGCAATATCGGTTAGAAAAATTGTCATCGTACCGGTTCAAATCATTTTCATCGTCCTTCTCCTTTGAAATTTAGTACTAGATTTGTATTACCTCCCACAATAGACAGTTACAAACACCAGCAAATTTTGAGTTTCCACAGTCACATCTGAAATATCGTTTGGTGTATAGCTCAACTATATCATGGTCAGAATGACACTCAATCGCACAAGGAAAACAAATCGCAGCTTTTACTTCGTCTACGTTTAAACATGTATGACAAGTGTAAAGCGCCTGTCGTTTTACATATCCCTATATACTGTAGTGAACAGGAATTATTTGTTACCCTTATAAATGTACAAGCAGATCTATCGTCGACCCCACCCATGGTAATCCAGTTCTCCTCATCAATTTCCTGCAGTACATTCCCAATCTTCACCACTGTATCTTCTTCCTCACTATCACTGACCATCATGAACCGAGATAAGCAGAATCATATTACAGTTTCCGCCACAAAATTCAGTCACCTTGATTATTCATGAAATGTGGGAAAACTAAACAAAATCTTGTTACAAATAAGTGTCTGCATTTTATTATTAATTATGATATGTGAAGGTACGTCTTCATAACTTGTCAAACTATGCTACCGCATCATTTAAAAAACGTAAGTTTAATAAACTCGTAGAAGTAATTGTAATTCTTTTTTTTAATGTGTCAGCATCTTCGGCTCAAACTCCTAACTAACTATTTTACCCAAGCAACACAAAAAGGGGAAATAAAGGGGAAGAAAGGGGAAATAAAGGGGTAAATGCTATGGTAGCGAAAGGGGAAATATAGGGGAAAACGCGCCAGAATGTCGCCTTTTTCGCCTGTCCGGGGGAAATAATGCGGATTTTCCCCTTTTTCGCCTTTTTGTCAACAAATTACCGACTTATCGCCTAAATATCCGCTGAATTATCGCCTTTTCGCCTAAATATCCGCTGAATTATCGCCTTTTCGCCTAAATATCCGCTGAATTATCGCATTTTCGCCTAAATATCCGCTGAATTGTCGCATTTTCGCCTAAATATCCGCTGAATTATCGCCTTTTCGCCTAAATATCCGCTGAATTATCGCATTTTCGCCTAAATATCCGCTGAATTATCGCCTTTTCGCCTAAATATCCGCTGAATTATCGCATTTTCGCCTAAATATCCGCTGAATTGTCGCATTTTCGCCTAAATATCCGCTGAATTATCGCATTTTCGCCTAAATATCCGCTGAATTGTCGCCTTTTCGCCTAAATATCCGCTGAATTATCGCCTTTTCGCCTAAATATCCGCTGAATTATCGCATTTTCGCCTAAATATCCGCTGAATTTTCTCATTTTCGCCTAAATATCCGCCGAATTGCATACTTATGCGCTTAATTGTCTACTTTTCGCCTAAATACACAGATTACCTACTATTTTCTATCCATCGACAGAACCCCAAAGGTCTCCTATGTTCGCCTTTATTTTCAAGAACAGACCAAAATATATCTGCAATGCAGTGGAAAAGCGGTAAATATTTCAAAAATTTTATTGAAAAAGAAAAGCGTATTATTGTACAACAGTAGAGCACATGCTGAAGCATCGATTGTTATGCATATCCAATGCAATTGCTAATACATTGTTATTTGAAATAATCTGAAAAAGAACGAACAGGTTATAATGTATTCATAAGAAATGTGCATTTAATCAATAGTTCACTGAAACTCAGACACACATTCTCAACACTTCAACAGTTTCCCATGTAGGTAAAAGAGTAAGCTGTTTGAAAGAATAATGTTTATTGAAATGGAGGTACAACATCAAAGTAATTGCACGGACTAATCAGAATTGAGTAGTCGTCCTGTGAATTCTGAATTTAAAAAAAAACAAAAAAAGTCACGACCATACCTCAATGACATGCTTTTGCACAACCAAATACTTGAAGCTGAACTTACGGTTATGTTCGTCAGTATTGTTGACTGTAACTATAGAGCCGTAGGGAGGTTATCACTTTAAATTAGTACCTACCTGATTTTCTTTTCTTCTATTTCGTTTTATCATCTTGTCTCGAAGGTCGTGAAAGTAACCTTGTGTCGCTATGTCGTATAGCTTACCAAGGTCTTTCTCATTTACAGAGGATGACAAAAAACGATGAGTTAAGGCACCTGAAGTTTAAGTAATAGATATATGTTACTTCGTATGCAGCTGTAAAACGTGCATTTATGTAGTGCTCGTTTAGAAGAGGTGCCAAGTAACGTGAATTTACTGGCAACCTCCGGTGTCAGCAGATGCGACAGAATAAAGCGCATGGACGCTTTCGGATCGTCACCTGATAACCTAGTGACCATTGCCATCTGTAATAGTAACAAATTATTAAATTCATGTCAATGACTTACAAATCTGTCCCTGGTTTCTTTCTGCGACAAACCAGTATCTAGCATCTGTAGTTCCTCTTCAGATGACAAAGGGAACTGCTGACTTGACAGTCCGCAATCGAATTCATGCGGTCTTTCGTGTTCATTAGACTTTGAAAGCAATTGGTTAACATTAACATTCAAGTTCGTAATGGCGGACGACATGTTGTTAATCGTTTTAGTCAAGTCATTCATAGCTGACGAAATCTTCAGCACCACAGTATACAACCTACCACAGGTGAAAAAGGTCACTAGATGATGCAGTTTACTTACTGGTCCAATACAGCGCCACCAACATGCCTACATTCCGATGTTGATGGTGATGTCTCTAATTGTGTTGAACTAAATAGTGAATATCTAAATAGTAATTAAACGTACTTGGCGATTGGAGATATCACTTTGTCGAAAACACGCAATTTGGGATATTGTACGCGGATATTCCCAGCCTGCATCTCAGCCACATCCAAGTCTACTGAATTGTAAAGAAAATCTTCTTTACGTTTCATTACACCTCTAGGAAATGTTAGTAAGATTATTGTACAAACCTCTTGGGCTTCTCAGTGTTATGTGGCAGAGTGTTTTCATCCGTTGAAGTGTTTTCAAGGTGAGATTGCAGTATTTGCAGGGGAGCTAACAGATCTTTTGCAGACTGCAGAGATTCTATAGTGAATTATAGTTTCCATGATTGTAGCTTACCTAATTCATGAATAACTTTACACTTCATAAGTGACCAATTGTCATCAGCTTGGTCGCACTTCTGAAGGTGTATATCGACCATCTCATTCGGAAAAGCGCAAAGGTCATTGCCAACTATCCAGTTCTTTGATGCTATCATAAGTTGTTTTTTTTTAGGGCGTCAACAATAACGTATTTCTTGTTAGTTGGCTGAAAAGAACATAAGACGTAAGTAAATGGTTTACCATAATTAATTAAACACTAATGAAACGAAATGTATTTACAATAAAGTATGCAACAGTGGGATTACAACTATGTAATTGGTACAATTGATGGCTATACATTTACAATCAATGTCCTGAACCGATACCCATGTGTATTCATGGCTAACTACGGAGCACATAAAGATTCCAATATCACTAGATGGGAAAGGATCTTCAAAGTAATTGCGTGGGTCAGTGAAAGTCCTAAATTTTAGCAGTCCATCCTCCTTTATGTCAGTAACTAAACCGGGCTGGCCGTTAACTACTACTACATTGTCCGGTTTATATGAACTTATTTTGCTGTTGTTAAACATAATTACTTGTTTAATGGAGACATCATTAGCGCCTATTGTGGTAGTATTTGTTAAACCACTAATTTGAAGCCTATCCCTGAAGGACATTCTCTCAGCATAACGCTGTGCTGCTTGCTTAGCTACTGCAAACCCACCACGCACGGAATTCTTAATTTGTCTCATATAAGACTCGAATGGAAAGGCTGAAAAACTATCTAAAGGTCCGTGTGCACGAACGTCGTCAGGGAGGTGCTGTAACGAATGCACATTGTAAACTAAGTTTTCACACCCATAACACCATGCGTATTCATTTAGAAAGTTTAGTAAATCTAATTTGGCGGTTTCTACAACATTTTTATGTAATTTCGGATGTGCAAGCAGATACATGGATAACGCTAAACGCCGGAAATTAAGATAAAAAGGTTGTGGCAATGTTTTTTCAAGAATAACCGGGCCTAAATACAGAAGAAACAACCTACATTCAGAAGCTTTCCATGCCGATACAAAGTCTAGTGTACGGCATTTACGGGGAAAGTCAGAAGGAGTACTTGCCACACAACCCGTTATTAAATTATTTATGTCCCTAATTGCACATGAGTTAAAGTCGCGCAGTCTTCGGCGTGCTAAATCTATCCATAAATTAGCTAGTTTTTTGGTAACACCGAGGTACACCATGTGTATAGGATCTAGAGGAAAAGTTAAAATCATATCAATCGAAAGCGTTTCCATAATAGAATGTCCTTGATGGTGAATTGATTGAGATTGACGACGGAAGGTGTCGTCTGTTCTTAAGGTATGTACTCCATTTGGAAATGTCGTCTTTCCCTCCAGCCGTCTCCCAAGAACAGTACACCTATCGCAACCTGCCTTACCGTTGTGATTTACCGTGTACCTAACAGAAGAACGAGCAGGTGCGTCACATATAACAGCCGCCAACCTAATAGCTATACATTTATTAAACTTTACACTAAAAAGACCCACGTCAGTCATTTCTTTTATTTCAGAAATTGTGTCCACAGAAAACTCGTTGAATTCTGCGGGCTTACTATTCCCTCCGTAGATCCCTATCATGAACACGTCACTAAACTTAGGGGCAACGATCCGTCCTAGTATAGGCCATAACTGTTGATTGGAGCTTCTAGACATAGAAAGTCCATCCACACTGATATATAATGTTAAAAAATCAAAATCACTTGTACACAACCAAAGTTCAACGTATCTTAGCAGATTGGTTTTCAATCCTAGATGGTAGTAAACTCCACTGCCGATAAACTTTGGTTGAACACTTGGACACGTCTTTAGGACACCTCTGATGCTTTTCGGTATGTCAGGGATAAAAAATCGTAGACCATACAGAACACGATCAGCATCCCTTATGCTCAGAGATGTATTTGACATTAGATAAATCATCAAGTCTTTCATCATTTCTTTGCGATTCACGAACTTCGGAGAGCACAGGTTCACTTCAGGAGATCCTATAAGATATATATTCACGTATGAATTTAGTATACATACCACTATTATCTGAAAGTCCTTGATTGATGTTGCTAGTCGATGGTGTAATAGTTGAAGTACTGTCATTACAAGTGATTTCTCTCTTCACTTCTATAAATTTAATAAACAACATTGTTGAACGCAGTTACCTTTTAGGGCGCTTTCATTAGCAAACTCACTGAACGAAAGAAAGTCATATTTTTTCATGAAAGCAGCTCTCATTTTATTCCACCTTCTGTTATAAGTGGATCTATGACAGACAAGGGAACGTGACAAGTTCACAGTGGCCCTACGTCTACGAACATTCTCACTGACTTCAACAGAACTCTTAGTATTGGCCTAACAATGTAATTAGTTACAATGAACATGAAAATCTGAGAGCACGTCACTCACCTGCATCACGTAAGTTTTTTGTGATGGCTCCCAAGCATGTCGGAACACTTTAGCTAAACAACAAACGAAGTCAGTCTATATGCGTATGAACCGAATGCCTGGTTCCGTATTTTGTACCTTGTTTTTATGACAATAATTTTGTTTTTTTATTAAGCGGTGCCTTAATTCGTCGAAGTTTATGAAAAATTAAGCTCCAGAAGCGGCTCATTCAAATACTGTACGTTACATAAAATTGTCGACAAATTTCCCCCAAATACACAACGTAAGAGGGAAAAAGCGACATTTCCCCGAAATAACCGACGTAAAGGCGAAAAAGCGACATTTCCCCTTTATTTCCCCCTTCGTCCGCTTTATTTCCCCTTTTTTCCCCTTTATTTCCCCTTTTTGTGCTGCTTGGGTAGCTTTATTAGAATTAGTGAAACACTCCTTTACATAGTAACCACTTTGATTATCACTAGTCGAAGTTTTATTTTTTAGTACTTGTTTCTGCTTAAATAATTTAACCGACTTTTGATAAACAGGCTTATCTATCGATTGTCAGTGGATGTCTGGTGTATCCTGTTATGGAAAAAAGCATATTTAACGTGAAAAGGAGAAATATTAGTAAATAATGACAAAATACATCACAATTAAGCATGCTGTGATGATTGGAGCCGCTTCTTCCTATATAGAACAATGAATTAAGGATGCCTCAACTATTTGGAGTTTGACAGCAACCTAGCCAGTAATACTTCCATGATTGAAATTTTCTAACTAATTAAAATCAGAATTTGGAAATGAAGGAGTTCGAAGATGTATTAAAAAGGCTATCGGTACGTTGAAAGAACGTTCCCTCTATGTTGGCTAAAGGTTGAAGAAGTGAAGCACAACGCACCCCAACGTGATCTGATGCGGACTATTCACCAAACGCCTTCAGCTAGGTGAATCCATTGAAACTAATGGGGTCAGCATCGAAAGCAGAAGGCTTAGAGAACCACAGGGCCGTTCTCGAACTAGAAGCTTCCTTATATATATGTTGCATTCTCGCACGTTGCTGTCATGGGCCTACAATTGTATCTGAAAATCCTGCTGAGTTGCAGATGAAGCAATCATTGATGTGAATTGTGTTGGACTGTTGAAGTGTTTGAAAATGTTGCTAAAATAGGAGCTCTGCTGAATGCCGTCATTATTGCTTGGGTCGCTTGAACCCAATAACTTATGAACTGATTCTTTGGCTTGCATGATGGGATAAACTAATCGGATTGACGACAAACTTTTCGATTTGTTTAATCTGATATCGAAATCTATCTTTTCTTTGAGCCTTTTTGAATTAGTTTCTTATTCGTTTGGAGTGACTATATGTGTTGCTGTTCATTGTTTTCTGACCAGTAGTACCTTTAATGTTTTAACAGCTAATAGGTACGAATTTTTATCACTTTAGTTTGTTTGCAAATTTAAGGGACCGTGTGTGGTACAGGCTGGTATGTAGCTCGAACAATCATGAGAAATAAGAAATCAGTGAGTGTGCACATTAATGAACGGTAGGCACTAAAGTCTTATAGATAGCACATAGAACCATTTGCAATTCTAAGGCCTGTTGCAAATTGAATGTTTGAGTTCATTCTTTGTAGTCAAATGAACGGTTGTTTGGGGGCGATCACTTCTTCATAGAGTAGCAAGAACTGATAGGCTTGCAGTTAGGTATTCTGTGTTTCTGGAAATGCCATATTATAGTAACTGTTTCTCAACAAAATTCCCAGCTTAACATTATCGAATCATCCTAGTCCTTAAACGGCGTTAAAGTAACAAGGTACGGAAGTCATTGTCTATAATGTGTATATGTTGAGTGCACATGGCTTTAGGAAGACTAAATTCTTCTCAGATTGGGACAGAAGTGCATACTTAACGAATGGAGTACGTTAATCTTTTCAGCACTCGAAGGTTGGTTTAGGTGTCAGCTATGGACTTTTTGTAGATGAATTCAGTCATCTCGAGTTGTTAAAAAATTCCACTGAGTACCATGCAGATTTATCAAGGCAGTTAAGCTCTCGGGTATGTAGATCACCAGTGTAGATGACCTGTGTCGATTTACTGGGAGCCTACTCGAGTTAGATGGGAATGGTATGGAAAACCAACTTATGTTGAAATCATACAACTATGGTTGCCTACAAACATTCGACGATTATCATGAAATTTATTTTGTTTGTCCGGAAAAAGTGAATATCACATACAAACTAGTGAACCTTATTTCAGTTGCTGAGGGTCAGTGAAGTTGCATTATACCTATATAACGAATGAAACCATCTACTGATCCACCTAGTACGAAGCACATACAAATATCCGATTTAAATGCTTTAAAGACAAAGTGAGCCGACGTGAATCACATGCATTGTAACTGACAAGTCGAAATGTAAATTTTGCTTATTCATATTATGAACGGAATAATGGCATCATATTTTTTCATATAAAAGTTGAGAACATAACCACGAATAATACTACTCATGGATATCACTACCATGCAAAAGGATCCTTCAACCACTGTGCATGATACACAGCACAATACGCACGTTTAATTAAAATGTGAGTGGTTATGATTAATAAAGTCACACTCTTTGTGAAGTGAGTACATGAAGGTCAAATATTGTCTCATTTGGGAAAGAGGATCATATATGCACTGAAAAAAGTAGTAGATCACAAAAATTCAGAAGACTGAACAGAAAAAGGATAAAAGCTTTTCGACTACACTCCATAATGAAAAACTATTCCTACGTACTCCACTGAAAAGAAGTCGAGCTGATGTGATGAGATGAAATAGCAGAATCATATTCTTTACTCATTATGATTTTTATTCAAAATTACCTCCATTTAATTTAGTGTGATGATTACTCAGTGTAGTATTTGTTTTGTTTTCTTCTCAGCGTATCCTCGCGTCAGTGCCCCAACACTAATTCAATGCTAGAAGTCAAGCCGAGAATTGGTGATAATAGTTTGGCGAATTTGGAAATAAATTTGAGATAAAGCTGAAGGGCACCAACTCATGATCTGAGTACCGGAATATTCGTATTTGACGGTGCTTAAATCAGTGGAGTCAGATGACTCGTATCAGGTTAAAAACCCTCCGCATCTACAGTACGGCCTGGAAAGTTGATAGAAATAAATCGTAGCTGACACCACATGATCACATTTGTGTCACAAAAGTGTCCAAACAACTTTAAAAGATTCTGGCTTTGTTACTCAGTATTGTAAGCATGAACTATGATATCTTCCTGATGAGATTCAGCACCGTCAAATCAGGTGATAATCTGATTTATATTCTTGTGAAATCTCGCAGATAGAACAATACATCTGAACGGTAGGAGCTTGTATACGAGCAGGTCGAATATTCCATTATTGCTAGTTAGTTCACCAGGGATCGCATCCAACGGAATTCGCCAATGCATATGCCTTACGTCTGTTTTAGAAAAGTAATTCGGTTCTCGTAATTTGAATAGTGTATCTTCAGTTTGTTCAGACGTATGACTGTGTTACAATAACCGAGTATTTGGTGTCAGATAGTAGTCATCACAATTTCAAGTGTTTTCTATATATTTACGGCCACAACAGTGCATTGAATCCAACAAATCTTGCTGCTGATTTGCTTTTATGCTTCTGGGTTTTATCAGCTCATAGTAATTTAAGTTTAGTAATGTTAGTTCTTTATAATACACCGCACGCCACGTTTCGAATCCTTATCAAACAAACACCTAGCACTTACGTGACAGATCCGAAGGCAATCGAGTTGGTTTTCTATCCGACTAGAACTGGGTTTGGAATCATTCTTTTCCGCAGCCTCACCACCTGATAATCTACAATTCTGAGATATTTGTGACCGGTATCTAATGCTAGTTTGGGCTCATTCTCAGCGCCTCATTTTTTCATACGGTTGATGAGGAATAAAACTTTTGAGAAAACCTTTCAGGAAAACAAGTATGCTGAACTTCATTATTTTGACGTCAGAATGCTGAGGATTGTGGATAGCTTATAAGAACGACAAACTTATAATATGTTGCTTAAATCGTTGTTCTTGCTTATGAGTAATGGAAAAGAGTATACACAAAACTGTCGAGTGACCAAACATTTACAATTCTTCAGTTAAAATATAAGCAATTAACTGTTTCACAACAAACTAACCTAAAGATGTTTATATTAGGCTTGTGCACACCTTTCCTCAGCTCTAATCAGTAAGCTACGGAACTCACTACTCTTCGGTTGAATCTTTCAAGGCTCAACGGTTACTTTAATTCTGTAAGTAGTAAGGGAGAATACTTTGAGTGTTACCCACCGAGCACACCTATTATTAACTAAATTGTCACTCCCCTCAGTTTTTAGGAGGAATATTAAGAAATCATAGCCCTCCGAAATAAGACCTTATTGTAACTGCCCAGACGCAGATCCCAAGGAACAAATAGTTCGCCGATTCCTCCTGGCAAAGTTGAAGTTGACACGGATAAGAGTAAAGATTCGTACCTATCTTACAGATATGAATAAGTAAGCTATGTAGAATCATTAGTATGTAGGAAGTATCACTCGTGTGTGACGGGACTAAGTTTAGTACCACAGGGTTTAAAATCAGAAACCCGGTAAATAAATCCAATAATTCCCGAAACCTGAGTGATATAATACTATCTCGAGAACTGGACATACCCGAAACATCAAAAACTAATTCCCTGTAATGGATTCAGATAACCATCTCAAATAACACAAGTTAATAAAAACACGGTAAATAATAGTACTGAGGATACACCAATAATTCCAAAACTTCGACTAATTAGTACATCAAATTAAATTGCAAACTTGCCAATGTAAGTTGTTTTCCCACCAGGCGCAGCACACAAATCCAAGATACGCTCGCCTAACTGAGGGGACAAGGCAATTACAGGAAGCATAGAACTAGCTCCCTGAAGTATATAATGACCGGCAAGATATTCTGGTGTTGCACCTAATGATACTTGTGATGAATAAACAACAAGTCCAACTTTGCTCCACGGTTCCAAAGGATCAAGGTTTACACCGCGATTTATTAAAGCCTATCTAATTATTATAAAACAAAGAGGACTTGCTTGAGCCAATTCCCTGCGACGTGTCTTTAAGGTGTTTGTGCGAATGGTCACTGGCCTGTCGACTTCATTAGCTTCTAAAACCTCAACAATCTGCGACTGAATTTGAGTCCCAATATTTATTACCTCTTTGGGAAACAAATCAAGAAGTTTCACCATAAGGAACTGGTTGTACGAATAGCGAGAACATAAGTCGCTTATCAGAGTCCGAACACACAAACTCCTATTGAGGTCTGCAGGTGCTCTGTTTTTGAAATCGGAGAGGATATAAAGCCAGTTCCGAATGCGTTGGTCTAATGTACTGGAATCCATTGCAGACTTTCCAACCGCATCTTCGGAAGTGAGGTTTGTGATCATATCCTCTTTTTCATTTACAGGTTCTACAGAATCCGCATTTGTCTCAATGTCTTCTTCCAAATCCGATAGACGTCCAAAATCATCAACCATAAGTTCGTCACCGTCATTTTCAAAAAATCCACTTTGAGTCGCAGACACACTGTCAGATGACTCATAAACCTAATAGAGAGAAGGTCATCAACAAAAGTACCTTTTTAGGCGTCCTATTTTCAACAAGTTCATCAGATTTCAGGAAACGCTTCTTAAGCCTTTGTTTTTGTCTGCTTGTTAGTTTCTCTAAGAACACTGAGACTTTGATAGCAACAAACCCCTATGTTTAACAACTCCATCCCTAATTTTCGGATCCTCTTGGTGAGTCAATCTTTTTCGTCCCTTCTTTACGGCCGATTTCACCATGGTCATGACCAAAAACGAAATAGGCGGCTTGAATTCACTAGGTCAAAGCAATCGACCTGTGTCAGTAGCTAATAGAAACAAACTTCAAAACATAAACATTGGTTGTGGAAAGTAGTGAACTGTCTTTTTTGGGGTCTGTGCCTAAGTGGTGAGCGGGCTTGGTTGACTGTGGTGAGATACAACGTGTCCGATAGACGTCCAAAATCATCATCCATATGTTCGTCACTGTCATTTTCAAAAAATCCACTTTGAGTCACAGGCACACTGTAAAAGAAAAAACTATTATAAACAGTTGTACCAGTGATTGTTTTACTGTACTTGTTTGTTTGACTGTATCAAACATATACATTCTTCCGTTGCTTGTGACCATGCGGGGACTTTCCTCTGCTCAGTAGTTCCACTTGTACTCCTTTGACACGATCTCGGTATTCCTTCGATTTAACGAGATCGTCAACATATATATCTTGCTACAACCTTTAATCGCCTTCTGATGTCTGGTTTACTCGTAGGTTTATAGTGTTCTGGTCGAAAATCTCCCTGTATTGTTGATCATATTCAAACGTGACTCGACGCCACACTACTCCCAAGTGAGCAGTGCACGTTTAGTGTAGCTGAAGGAAGATAAGAGTACGATGCAAACTGATTAGTGTGTTTATAAGGCTTCACATTATTCGCTCTAGTGACAGATTTAGATCTTTTTCAGGTGCTATAGGCATCAGGAGAGATTATATGTCTTTTAGATGGCCTGGACATTATCGGAAGTAATGTAAATATAAAGTATAAGACAGGTATTAGACGTGAAATTCTATGGTAGGATGAGATCCAGTTTTATAAGAGAGCAAATATATTAACGTTTATTAGCGAAAAGTGGTAGATAGCGTAAAAACTAGGGAAATCAATGTATGATGTTGAGTCCCAAAATGAGGTGTAAAGTTGATAGAACCTTATCGCTAATAAATGTTAAATGAAAGGGAAAAACTAATAGGAAAATCGAATAATACCACGTGAAAGAAAGTTACAACCTTCAAAAACACTGATAACACTAAAACGACTCAGCTGAAAATAAACTTATGGATAACATAATTTTGTCGATCACTATAAATCCGAGGCTACATTTCGTCACAGTATATATCACGTCTTCCCGGTTTAATTTCTCTAGGTTTTTCTTTAGCGTAACAACCGATTGTTTGAATTTCCACTGCCTGATGTTCAGAATGAATTCTAGGTTACAAATAAATTTGAAGCTTAAAACAGTCCTTAAAGAATCCGGGATCGATATGTTAATGACCGAGAGAACATGTTTAATGAAAATGAAGCTTTAGCATACCTACACCCATATATTCGCCGAAGATGGCACAGGTATTCAGTGTTTGGTAACGCTTAGGCCAGTAACACCTAATATAACTTGTACCCACCAAGAGAAATCAAAAGACAGAATCATGGAGATCGGAAGATATGTTTGATAACTATCAATATATCGAGAATCGTCTGATCTAATCTGGCTAGCGATCGCAGTAGATGTTGAGCACGGCGTTCCCACTCGTGATCTGGTGCGGATGCATGATCTAGAGCCTTCAGCTAGGTGAGTTCACTAAAACTAATGTGGTCAGCATCCAATGTCGAAAACTTACAGAGCTATTCATTTTGGGGATATTTTACCGCTACATTGTATACTGATTATGTGGTTGGTTATGCTACATTTATTAAATGGAACATGCCATCGAGTTTATGACTATCTTTTAAGAAAAAATGTACATCACGCTATAACCCCTGTAGAATTCCTCTGATCTACAAAATAAGGGAGGTAATTGAAATCTGCCTAGCGGTTATACTGAATCAAAATATCAAGAAAGCTTTTGGTGAAGTAATTCATAATCTCTTAATCAACAGACTAGTCTTTTGAGGTTAATAACTCTCTCTTGAGATTCACTGAGTATTTTATCACGAACAGATACCGTAGCAATAAACTCAATTGTACAATATGTACACCCATACCAATAGCCAGTAGTGTTTCCAGCTTAGCTCCCTAGGTTGAATGAGTTTAAAATATACATCAAAAATGCATACAGGCGCTGTTCTCAAATAATACCTTTCGTGTGGATGAGTACCTTTCGTATTATTGACATAAGAAATCAAACTAGCAGTGAATAGGTCTTTATTTAGGCCGTGAGATAGTGCACAGTGTAGCGCGATGTTTTCTTGTCAAACACACAAGTCTTTCAACATTCAGTATAAAATGATAGGAAATATGATGCCTATGTATAATTAGGAAGTGAATGAAAGCTTGATCATTAGTGTTTTCACCTTACTAATAAGTTTGCAGCCGATTCTTAACCAATCAACCCAAGTTGTTACAGACCAACATCTACACATACAGCTCAAAACTCACCTATAATGCTAACATCTACGATATACGAAGTTTAATGAAGATAATTTAGCATGAACTCAAAAATTTAAATATCCGGTTTAAGCACTAGAAGTTAGAATTCAACATAGAGAAATGCGTTCGCCTATCTATTACAGATACGTATTTGAAAATAAAAGAACTTCATCAAACGTGCGTTAATAAATAGTGTCGGAGAATATTACTCTCATAATCCAACCTTCTCTAAAAATATTTCAACTGAAGCATCTGAAATACGAAAAGTCTTACGCTTCGTCCCTCGTAAATTCCTTAAAAATAATTCTGGAATCCTTTTTTAAGAGATACTTTTAAGACCCATGATTCAAAACTTTCATTCTAGTCTTTCAACTTAAATGCATCAGATCTACTTGAGGTGGAAGGAATATGACGAAATTTTACTCACAAAATGCTGTCACACGTCGAAACTCACTGTTCTTTCTTATAGCAGTCTTTTTTCTGAAGACGCTTTGGCTACAATTCATCCCAGTAATAACAGCTAGTAAGTATTTTATCTGCTGGTTTACCAAACCCTTAAATATTCCACTACAAAAGGCTAAGCAATAACCAAACCACACTATAAAAGATTTATAAAGCATAATCTTAAGATAATAGCATAGTTTGCTGACAAATCAAAAATTCAAATGCTATAGAATAAAGATAGTGTCGTTAGATTTAATATCAACAATTAAAGTGTCCGACGCATGAAAGCTGTAAAATATAAATGTGAACGAACTAGAGTAGACAGAACGAAACGGAAACTATAGTTTCTATTAACGTCATACAGAGTTGTTAATGAGTCGCACGGCGAATGTCATTTTCCGGTTTAGCTGCAAACTCTTTGTACAAATGAACACCAACCTAACTAAATAGTTTATCATAATAAATCCCTCATCATTTGTAATATTTTGATTTTGCCTCCAAAATATCATACATAATGAAACATAATGTTACTTTAGAATAAATTGTTGTTATAAAGTTCACATCTGTAAACGTGAATAAAGGTAGAAAAACCCTTCAAAAAGAGCTGATGGATCAATAAGAGGCAGTCAGACGTGAAAAGTACACATATTTACTTAACCTTATACATCTTTAGTATGAAGAAACCCTTTAAAATACTTGGCTATGCAATATGTACTGATATACGGATATAGTTAACACCTTGTGTAGTACTTTTAGGAGAAACGCATACTCAGGAGGTTTATACACTAATATGTAACCATAAAAGCTGGGATAAACAAAGTGTGGTGAATAAAAAAGTGACAAGGAGGATTCAGATTAGAATTTGTGAGAACACAAAGAGTGAATGCACCTGCGCCATTGCAAACGATTTTGAGCCATGTCATTCAGGGTCTCTAACCATCGGTTGCTGTCATCTCGTGGTCCCCAACCACGTAGTCTACACTTACCAACATGACTTAGTCCACTTGTCAGTGACTTCATGGACTTGTGCCATGTTTTGGTCTGGCCGCCCCTAGCTTTCTTCCAACCTACTCCTATACCACTGAACATCGCACATCGAGGCAATCGGTCGTTGGGCATACGTAACACGTGTCCCAGCCATCTCAACTGATGAAGTTTCACTACTTCATCAATTGATTTGCCATTCTTACCTAGTACCCGTTTCCCAACAACTGCGTTACTTACTCGATGGTCCCATGATATATGAGCAATGTTTCGAAGACACCTATGATCAAATACTAGTAACCTACGGATATCCTCTACTCTTACCGGTCATGTTTCACTGCCATAAAGTAGGACGGAACGAACTGCTGCGCACTAAACACGTCCTTTGGTTGATAGACGGATATCTCACCCACGCCATAAATGACGCAAGTTGACAAAAGCTAGTCGAGCGTTCTGTATCCGTGCTAAGACTTCGTCACACACCAGACCACAAGGGCTGATGAGACTTCCAAGATAAATGAAACGGTCGACACACTCAATTACTTCACTCCCTATCATTAGTTCAGGTGTCGATGCAACCCAATCCTGAAGCAACATTTTGCATTTCGAGGGAGAGAATCGCATGCCGAACATGCTTGCATTGTTGCTTAGAGTGGTCATAAGACTGCATTTTGTCAGCGTCTTCACCAAATAGAACTATGTCATCGGCATATTCTAAGTCAACAAGTGAATCTCCCGGTAGAAGTTCAACTCCTGGAAATTCAGATGAGGAAAGTATCATTTCTGAAAGCACAGCAACGACAAAGTTGAACAAGAATGGAGAGAGTTGACAGCTTTGATGAACACCACTTGAGGTAATCAATTCTGATGACAGTTCGCCATAAGCTCTCACTCGACTATTTGTGTTCGAGTAGAGAGCACGGGAATAACGTTCCACGTACTCAAATCTTTTGGATTAGCGGCGCGAGGTGATAAAGGGACGTGAAAAGGGTTAGTCGTGGAGATAAGAGAGTTATAAGAATGTGTAGGAAAGGTTTGATTGTGACCAACTTGGTCTCGTGTGCTGTTACAGGTATGAGGGCTGATGTAAATTCCCGTCTGCCCACAACTTGGAAGGGTTGTTCTGGAGGTACCTGAAAAGGAAGCTGGATTAGTGATGGTTTTAACGACCTAGGTGTGTGATTGTAGACCACAAGGGACAACTGCTTGAGGCCGGCCATACACGGCCATTTTTTAGGGAGTTGTTAACTTGTTGGCTTCGTTCTTCAAACGGCCTTGCTGCCTGAGACGGGAATCCGTGAGATAAGGTGTGATATTATTAAGGTCGGCCTATTCTAACCCCTTCCTTCCTTGTGAGAATGCAGCATCGCTGCAGATGCTGGTTGTTAGAGAGAAACACCTTACTGTTACCACACTCCTCTACAGCCAACAGTACGACTTCGCCCTCAGACCTTGGGTTGCTGATTTTAGTCTTACTGTTATCCATTCCACCTGCATGACATGGTAAACCTGCAGGAACATATGTTCCGGCCAATGTAGCTCGGTTGGGTTATCACGATAGGCAAGCCCGACCACCACGTCAAAGTAGCAGATACGGTTATGAACAACGACTTTGACAGTCTTCAAACATCAAACATATATGCGTAAGAACAACTGAAACCATGTTCACCTCCACTCACGCAACCGACTTCAAGAATACTAATTGAAGAATGCACGCAGTCGTTCAGGCCATCCAAGGTGGTGAAAAAAACCCGGCGAAGTTTGAAAATCAATTACTTCTCTTTCGGGAGACGACCCTGTGACATCGAGACAGTTTTTTGAGCTACTTCTTTATTCCTAATTTATTAGTCAATAGTTTTTCAAAAATTGCAGCGGAGTATAGCATTGATTTCCACCAAGCCATACACTAAAAGTAAACGAGTGCTTTAATCTTATATGAAGTAACGTGAATAAGACAAGTATCGTCATAAAACTGTAGTTATCAAAGCTACTTAAACTGCAACAAGTTACTACACAATTATAAGGTTTTGTGTTTGTCTTCTTTATTACGATTTCGGCTGATTTTCACTATTTTGTCCTGATTTTGTACCAAAAGTTAGATAATAATCGATATATTAACTTCTTTTAGGGTTGTAATTATTATGCATCTTCTTCAGGCGATAATAACTCCTGCCGAGCTGTTAATTTCGTCCTTCTCTCATTAGATAGATATATAAGACATCAAAATCACGTTAGAAAGGTGCAGTTATGTGTTGCTTTCTGTTATAACTTGTGACCTGTGTGCACTGTCAATGTATAGCGTAACGATACCGCCAATAAAGAGCAGTGATTTATCGATCGGATCAATGACGCGTAAACCAGTATGAGCAGTCTAGTGTACTGATCGGTCCAGCTTCCTGCCTAGCCCAGCCAGCTAAGTCCAGAACACCAACCTCAGCTTCTGCAATATGAATAACTTGTTCCAAACATTCTAGGTTTATATACCAATCAGACAGACCACAACATACCATAAAATATGGAACAACATTTGTACAAGATTTTGCCAAACCTGCCTGTGAATGAGGGAGGTAGTGATTAATGGACAGGGCATAATTCAAGAATGGTGAGACACATAATAATAGTTCACAAGTCAAAATAAAGCTTATGATAAGAATATAAATATGGATAATTTAGTTATTTAACAGTTATACGATAAAAAGATACGCTTAATATTGATCCACAAAAGGATTCCAAAGTTACCATTCATTATGCTTATGGGGACATAAAACTTTCACTGGCGATTTACCAAACATCTGATCGCTACTACTTCATATGCGGAGTTTCAGTTATTAGGTTACCGATATTCTTGCAAAAATAGCCAGTAACCGAACTAAGTACTATTGTAAAGCGATTTAGAAAACTCATTGAAATTGTTGTGACTTTAAACTTGGATCACTTTTTACCCCGTGCCAATTGTTGTGTCCTTGACTGAAAGATTAGAGAGCAGCGTATTTATCGATCGATTCGGTGACACGCAAACACGTACGAACGACCTACAGTCTCGATTGGTCCCGCTTCCCTGTCTAGCCCAGCTAGTTGAGTCCAGAACGCAAGTCTTAGCCTCTGAGATATGAATCATTATAGTTCAGACATACCCTATTTATATACCAATCAACCAGACCACATCGTACCATAAAATAGAAAACAACATTTGTACAATATTTAACAAGTGGAATAAATACTGACCAATAGGGAGTGTGCATTTAAAGTCCAAGGACACCATTAGACGTAACATGATAATTATTGGTATATTCCTCTGCATCCCTAAAAGAAATGTATGGGTTTTTTCAAAAGTTAAAATGACTAAGTGCATTACGATTGACTCTTGGGAGAAATGAAATGAATGTAGATCACCAACGCAGATTATCTGTGTCGAATGATCGGAGGCCTACTCCAGTTAAATGGGAATAGTGATGAATCAGCTAACTTCGAAGTCACAGAACAGAGGAAACTTGGAGAAATCATTAAGGCTGAAAAGATAACGTGTAAGAAACATACTTAAACTCGCTAAAAGAAAATTTCCTTTACAAATGAAGAGTAATTATGAGACTATGCAAACAGAAGGAGTAAGAACAATGATAGATTTGCAGAAATGATTACTACATAAAAACACCGAACTGAACCTTCTAAACCTGTTTAGATAGCATATATAAAAGCAACTGATATTTACCTCACTGTCCTTCTATCATATTAAATCTGTTAGTGATAAACAAAAAAAACTCAGTTCAAATAAACAAAGCAAATGAACTTGATAAATTTCACGATAGTACAGTATTCAAGTGAAATAATTCTAAATTTCTGCTATTTATAAATGTTCAACGAGAAGTTTATAAAGTATTAATCAACATCTAAACAAATGAAAGTTATTTGGCTAAAGTTACGTGTTAAAAAAGCAGCTTCATAGAATTCAATAGTTTTCATGAAATACTAGGACATAGTTTTTCTTAAAGTTGAGACTAAACTAGTGCAAATCTAAGTGACAATGTCAGGTATTGAAACCAATTCAAAAGTTCGAAAAACGTATGGAATAGCAATAATGTTAAGAGGATGACGGAAAAAACAAAATAATGTTTACAACCAATCCTGTAGGTTAAACGATGGATCATGAAGTAAGGAAATCTAGCATGTCGTAAAGATACAAATAATGTTGGCTATTCAATCTTTGAGATCTTCATATGGATTTTCTTTTGAGCTTGTCAAACCATCGTTACGACGTCTGTGTACAAAAAAGGAATAGTATGCAGAACTTAAAAGTGGTTTTCATTACAAAACGTTAGAATAAGGAAACATCTCGCGGTAGACAGCGACTAATGTAAGTTTAGGTATTCTCCTACGTTTTCTACCAAATCAATTATAGAAGTCTTTAAAATCCACCATACTACATAATATTCACAATTCAAATACAGCTAATCATCCCTTGGATACCATATTAGTCAGTAAATAATACTTCATCCCCGACAATCTAAGTTCAAAATAGTGCTGTGATGTGTTCTACTTATGTCGACATAAGTAGCATATAACATTAGTCAGGAGTAGAACATCTGGCAGCGGAAGGTTGAGATTGAGGAGTGAAGAACGGGAACAGAAAGCAATTGGTATGCAGGAACAATGCAGTCTGAGACAATTAATAAGCATTTTGCAAATGAAGTATTGGAGTATCGTTTTTATTCTATGAGGTAACTGTAATTTTGGGCTAAATATGACCGGTTATCTTCAGCTACATTTGGTGTCGCTGCCTCCACTAAGGATGAAGATCCCTTGGCCGAAAAAATCTAAGGATGGAGACATGCTGACAATTCTGAAGGAGTTTGAGGCTGTGACGGAGCCTACGGCGAATACGGTGGTGCTGGGGACACTGCTGAGAGGCAAGGCAAAGGCTGTATATAACCACTTGAACAGTGCTCGTGGAAGGACTACATTGGAGACAGTCACAGAGCGGTTGATCGCGGACTTCGACAGCCTAGTTGACAGGGAAGGAGCACTGCAGAAGTTATCTATTAACGTTAACCCACTGGTACTGACTGTGGAGCTTACCATGTTGTTGCGCCGTGCACTGCCGAACCTGAGTGAGGAGTCGAAGGAGCAGTTTATCGGGCGTGCCGGCCACCGTTTCTCAGAAGCTGAAACTAGTAAAAGCCGCACAACCTATGGATATCAGCGAACTGGTGAAAGTGACCTGAACAGTAGCTCCGATCGATTGCGGAAGTGAGATAGTGTCCAGAAGATTGAGGAGCTGAAGCGTGAGATTCCTGTGATACGAGTGAATCATAAAATCAATGATAAGTGTTACGCTAGTGGAGGGACAGGGCATTGGAAGATGAAATGTTTAACAAGACAAAGACGCAAATATTTTAGACGTTATTATGCGTCTTCTTTCCACCCTAAGAATCTGGGGGTTGTCGCACTAGTAGATAAGTGGGCAGTCTACGCAAAAGTGAACATAATAAAGGAGACTAATTGTGTCTGTTCAATACTAGGGTAGTAGTGTCGTTAATAGGCAAAGAGTAATGCAAGAGACTCAAGCCATGTACATTAGCAGTTCACACCATAGGAGGGTACATGTTAGAGGTGTTGGGTGTGCCTAACAGTATCGTAAAAGTGGATGGTGCTGAGATAAATTTTCTTGTTTTAGTGGAGGGCATTGTGGCGGAGGGTTCACGAGGTACCCCAGGATTCAATTGTTGATTGAGTTGTCTACTATTCTTAAAGAACAGAAACGATGATGGTTGGATTATGCGTTTCAAAAGACTCGGTTTATACATCGAATGTCAGTAAACATTTCTTAGATGTAACCTGCTCCACAAATATACGTAATATTACGTACAAATCCGCCCAACAATCCTGCAAACAATTATTAAGTAACTTGAAATCAACAAAGAATTTGTTATAACGGGGATTTCTTGAGATCCGATACTGATGCACAACGTTTTACACGTCAGCTCCTTCCCAAATGACTATTTGGGCGAGAACACAACAGTGAACGAGAAAGCATACTCAGCTACCAAATAAAATGCACAAATACCCACTCATAAATGTACAATTCTACTCCTTAGGAAATTAATCCATTTCTTAACCAACGAGATTATCTGGATAGCCACTATTTCGTAATGTGTTTTTTAGTATGCCTATTTCACTATCGATGATGTCCTCAAGAAAATAATGGCTTAACTCTGTGGCTGAGACATTTAACCAGATTTACTTTATATTGAAGAGGTGTGGAGCTATGGGAATTGTTATTTCTTCCCTTTTTTTTATTTCACTTATTCTGAATATTCATCTCTTGATTCTTACATAACTACTATACTACCGACTATTCATCAAAAATAGTTCCTTCTCTTTCTATATATTATGCAACGTAGAAATACCTTGATTTTCGAATAATTACTTTGCTTATTATTAATCCTCTTTCTTCTAATTACTCAATGTTAATTTATAATCATTACGTAACGTATCTACTCGATGAGTATTATTTCATTATTGTAAATCATATATATCTTATCGTATAGCAATGATGAAGAACCAACTGAAAAGAAATTTCTTTGCTCGATTCGTCCCTTCTTAATTTCCATTTTTGCTATATTACTATTCTACTGATTGTGACTGGACACTCTACTCCAAATCATTCTGACCTTTATTAATTGACCCTTCTAATTTGCAAATAACACAACTTTGAAGTATATATGTGGTAACAGATCCAAACGTTCACCATTTCTAACATATAACATTGTCGAATTCCTTAATACATGCCTTATTTTGGCATTTGTAAAATATCACAATAATTATAGACTTATAAATGTGGAGCCTAATGATGAAGTTATTGAAAACAATTGTTTGCTCAAATATTCTTCATTTTTGAACATTTTATGGAGATTTTTAAACTGTCAAAATATATAAGAAAATAACAATCATTTTCTAAAAAAGAACTAACTGATTATACTGGATGATTCGTTCTTGGTATGCCCGAGTATAAAAGCTCGTACATTGTTTGCTATGAATAAAATTTAAAAAAAAAAGAATTCAGCAAGTAAAAAATAGTACAAAAACGTATTAGAAAATAAATATGGCAGTAGATGGGAAAAAAATTTTTCGGAAATTTTTATTCTCCTTAATTCTATTTCACTAAAGAAATTTGTTCGTATCAACAATTCATCATATTGAGAAAACAATGGAATGAAAATGGATGTGACAATACTCCTACAGTTTGATTGAAGTTCAAAGATTAATTTAGAATTCAATACAAAGTAAGTGAAAACTGTCACTTGAGAAAACTTACACCTGTTACGCTTCATGGAGGTGCATGGGCCTCTCACCAGCATTCTTCATCCAATTCTGTGGGCAATCCTCAGTTGTTATTCATCCTTCTGATGTGTACTTCCAATGAAATGACTCGTTTGAATAACCAGGCTAGAATAATTACTCTCGAATTCAAGAAACAAGCTGCCAAATGTTATTTTAATGATCAGCTTTATATCCAACTGTGTGATCAGTTAACTGTATGAATTAATATACCAGACGTGAAAAAAAACGCTCATTCGAGTATCGAAATGCCCCCAAAGGATGCTAGAATTTCATATTTCATATATGGAAAAATGCATGAAACTGACTTCCTGGAAGTAAAAAATTAAGCCACATTACTTAGTTATCCTAATCCAAGCTGTATGGACAGGTGTTTAATTGATAATAATACCCGTTTTCGCCAAAACATAAAAAAATTCATTGGATGACTGTGAAGCAGTTTACAGAGATGAGTACAGGTCCGGCAAATGCGTATCGTGTGGTAAACTTAATTTAAGCAATTTGTGCGAATTTAGTTATGATAAATGCTCCAAGTGTGGCCGAATCGGACATATCAAGTCCGTTTGTAAAAGTAATGCTCACTTCACTACTGTTGGCTATAAACTCTGTAATCTGGATCTTATTAATTTGGTGATTCTCTTCCACAAGAAATTGCTACTGATGGTATCCGGCCAACGGACATACAGTATCTTACGTAGACAATTGTTTATAAATACTTGTAACTTTTTAATGATGGTCGTGGTAGTTCTCCAAGCTTCAGCTCCATACAGTAGAACTGTCTTGACGCTCGTATAGAAGATTCCGACTTTTACATCGGTTGAGAGTTGTTTTGAGTTCCACATGTTCTTGAGTTGTAGGAGCGCTTGCCTTGATCTGTCACTTCTCGCCTTTACATCTGCATCTGAATTTGAGGATCTTGCTTTTTCCTTTGTGTATGTTGAGACCAACTGATGCAGAGGATGCTGCTAAACTGTCTGCCTTGACCTGCATTTGTTAGTGTGTATGGAATAGAAGAGCTAGGCCATCTGCGAAGTTCAAATCGTCTAGTTGATTCCGAGCTGTTCATTGTATTCCGTTCTTCCACCCAGATGTGGAGGTATTCATAACCCAGCCAACTACCAGAAGAAAAAGCAAGGAAGAGAGTGAGCAACCTTGTCTGACACCGATCTTCGCTATGAATGCATCTGTCAGCTTCCCCCCCCATGCACGGTTTTGCACTGTAGTTCGTCGTATGAATTCCGTTTGATATTGACGATCTTCCCAGGTACACCATGGTATCAAAGAAATTTCCATAATGTTCTCCTATCCACACTGTCATATACATCCTGATACTCAATGAAGTTGATGTATAGTGACGAGCACCGTTCAATTGATTGTTCGACGATGATCTGTAGTGTTGCGATTTGGTCTGTGCACGACCGCTCCTTATGGTATCCGGCCTGTTGATGTGGAAGTTAGACGCCTTCTGAATCTTTCATTCTCTACAAAAATACTTTGTTGAAAACATTTCCTGGTACTGATAGTAGTGTGATGTCTACGTAGTTAGTTGTCGCAATCACTGATATATTTTCTTTGATGTCTTGATGAGATATCATTCTTTACAATTTGTCGGTACTTGTTCTTCTTTCCAAATCTTCCTGAATAGAACGTGGAGCATGTTTGCAGTTACTTCTATGTCTGACATCAGTGCCTCGGCTAGTATATTGTCAAGTCATGCTGCTTTTCCACTCTTGATTTGTCTGATGACCGGCCATCTTGATTTCTTTGATCGTTGGTGAAGTGACAGCGATAGGAAGGTCTGTGTGTTCTTCGATATCCGATGGATTCAATGGAGATGATCTATTCAAGAGTTCCTCGAAGTGTTCCAGCAATCAGTTTATCTGTTCTTGAATTTCACTGATTGGTTTGCCTTCTTTGACCTTGACTGGTCTCTCAGGTATGCTATATTTCCCTGACAGTTTCATCGTCGTGTCATATAATTGTTTCATATTTCCTCCTCTTACATCTATTTCCGCTGCCATTGCCAGCTCTTCGACATACTTCTGGTTGTCGGCTCTAATGCTCTTCTACGCTTCATTGTTTGCTTCTGTGTATTCAGCTTGCGCCTTGAATTCGGCTGCTCTTGTCCGGCTGTTGTTAATTGCTGTCTTCTTGTTTATCTTCAATCCTGATCATGGTTTCGTTTAGGATCCATTCTTCCGATGATGCTTCTTGCGGCCCAGCACCTCCTGACATGTTGAAGTTAGTGCTTCTTTGATCCCTTCCCATTTACTATCCATGGCAGTTTCTTCTCTCAGTAGATCCTGTTAGGCTTGTGACCAGTTGTTGTGAGCTATCTTGAATCCGTTGATTTTGAGTTTCGTGAAGGAAGGCTGTACTGAACCTTCGTAATTTCATTTGTCTATTTTTCCCGTGGTTTTATAGCTTTAGTTCCATCTTGACAATAACCAGGTAGTGATCTGAAGCTATGTCAGCTCCTCTCTTGATTCTCACGTCTTCCACAATCTTATTGAATTTTTACTGATGCAAATATGATAGGTCTGGTTCTCTGTATTGTGGTCCGATGAGACACGTGTAGCTTTGTGCATTCGTTTGTGTGGGAATATTTTGCCACCTATAACCATGTTGTTGAATGCACACTAATTTGTAGACCCGTCACTATTCTCGTCCCTTTCTCTCAGTCAGTCCATGATGTCCTATGATATCTTCATATCCGGTGTTGTCCATTCCGACTTTAGCGTTTAGAGCTCCCATCAGGATTGTCAGATCCTTTCCTGGGCACTTCGCTATGATTGAAGCCTCTTGTGGAACTGATCTTTGTCGTCTTCATTGCTATCATTGGTGGGTGCATAACATTAGATAACATTCATTGTAATTCCCTCCTTCCTTATTTTGAAGGATGCTTTGATGATTCTGAGTCTATAAGATTCCTATCCTATAAGTGTACATTGCGCATATTTGTGCAACACTGGAGAAACTCACTGACCGTGAAGAGCATTTTCCCCTTCGTGACTAGAGTACAGCAGCATCTCTCCCGAGTCCACCCTTTTCTGCTCAGATTGGTTTCAATGGTTTTCGCTAATTCCGAGAACCGCCAAGTTTTATCTCGTCGTTCCCGTCGCTATTCGACTGGTCCTCCAGGTCTATCACATTGTCAGAACTTTCCATATACTTATATTAATGGTTGCTCTGGTTGTTAGTAGGAACATCGGTCTCCTGACTTCCGAAGAATCTCGGCTTTCATCATGAGGCGTCATAATTCTTCCTTCAACTCGGAGGGCAGAATTTAAATGTTTTAAATTGTTTATTCTTGATAGCGTTTTTCTAGCAAGGTTATTTTCTACGGAATGGGGTTGCTGACCCCATGGCCAACCCTCCTCCTTTACCCGGGCTTGGGACCGGCAGTTGCACTAGAAGAGCTACAGGCGGAGTTACTTGAGAAAATAGTTAATATAAAATTATGAAATAGAATTTTTAAAATGTAATATAATCAAATAAAGTATATAAACGAAAATCGATCGATGTAGATCAACAGATAAAGTGAATTTTTCAGATTAACTCCGTCTTCTCGTTGTTCTATCGAAATTTATAATAAGGACTAATTGCTTTAAAGTTAATGATCAAGATGGGATAAGAGTTTGGAGAAACAATTGTTACACAAAGTCTATTATTCTTAAGATTTATGGTAAAGTCATCAATAAATCATAAGTAACGAAAATGTACTGCATTCGACAAATTTCTTTTAACTTATGAGTAGCGTTGAATTATAAATATTTTGTAGTAGACTGACCAGTATGGATAGTGATATGCAATCCAATTCTATTTTCTACGACCATAAAGAATGGTTTGTACAAATCTCATTTGAATAGAATGCACATCGAATGGCTAATTAGTCTCGGTTTATAGGAATAAATGGACTGGTACATACATCTGACTGCTTACATGATTTTCAAGCCCAGGGTTGTTTTTAGTTTCTTCTTAACAAAATCACTAAACAGAAGATATTATAGAGCTGCAAAGTTATTTAGTCGTTAGAATAAAATAGATATGAGCAAATTATAATTCTAAAAAAGAAAGTTGGTGCAACAATTATGTACACGTTTCGGATATTCATTACAATTCCAGTTATTTAGGCTTACAATTGGCAGTAGTTTCCAAAGATAAGCATGTAAGTATGTTATAACTTGTGGCCTTGTATCCAATTAATATATAACGCTATGATACAGCCAATTAGAGAACAATTATTTATCGACCGGACTAATGACGCGTAAACTCGTACGAGCAAACTAGAGTCTTTATCAGTCCTTCTTCCCACATGGCCCTGCCTGTTGAGTCCAGAACGCAAACCTTAGCCTCCGCAATACGAATCATGTATTTTAAACATACTAATTTTATATATAAACCAAACAGACCACATCACACCATAAAATAGAAAATAACATTTGTACAAGATTTAGTCAAAAAGTGGCTGTGAATGTGAGAGACTAATTAATAGACTAGGTATAACTCAAGAGCGATAAAACGTATAATAATAGTCTATAGGTCAAAATAAAGCTTACAGTAAAAGGAACATGAATATGTATAGTTTAGTTGCTTAACAATACAACAAAAATACATGTATAATATTAGTCCATAAATAGGTCCCAACAATGACCATTCATTATTCTCATCGGGATATATAAGTCTGGTACC